AAAAAAAAAAAAACCATAAGCTACAAAGAAAGAAAAGCCAAAAAAAAAGAGGCATAAACTACATAGGTTTTAATGTTAATCACGCATTATTTGTAATAAAAAAAATCAGCAAAACAAAATTAAAAACAAAATAGAAGGAGATTACCTTGACAGAATTGCGGTTAAGTTGAATAGTTCTCCGACAGTCCTCTTCTACTTTCAACCAATTACTGTGTAAAACAAACAACCAATATGATACAAAGAAATAAAAATACGTTAAAAAACCGTTTTTTATAAGGAAAAAAAAAGAATTACTTAAAAAAGGATGAGTGAGTGTAGGCTTGTAGTAGAAGGAGAAAAGTTATAATCCAATTACGTGCCGTTATATAGATTTGATGATGTCATAATTATATAATAAAATAATTAATTTATTGATTATATTATTTCAAAGATAGATAGTTGCACAAATTCACCTATACATTATATATTTGTCATTTGAGGTAATTTAAAAATAATATTTAAATTTAACCAATCAAAATAAATGAAGATATTTTACAAATCATATTCATATTTTTGACCAATCAAAATTTAATTATTAGTCATCTAATTTGTTTTTAAATAAATCAACATAATTTAGAAATAATATTTATATTTTTGACCAATCAAAATTTAATTATTAATTACATTCGAGTATTTGTTTCATTAGTTGGTGTATGCTATCTTGTTTAAATAATAAGATTCGAATCCTTTTTTTTCAATTAAAAAAATTAATTATTGATAATTTAATTTATTTTTAATAATTATACCAATTTAGAGGTAAAAATCAAAGTTGATTATGTAATTTATGTCTAAATCTCTCACCTAAGTCTCCCACCTAATATAACAATTGCTCAACTTATCAACATGAAAGGAAGGAGCAATAAATTCCGGAAGGAAGGGTATCAAAACAGAAAACAAGGAAATCAAACTGGAAAGAAAAATGAGAGAAGAAATTCCTGGAAGCAAGGGTATCAAAAAGACCAAAATAACATGAAAAAAAAGAAAAAACACCAAGACAAACAAATGAAAAAAAATAGCAAAAGGAAAATGTAAAGAACGGGGAAAGGAAAAAGAGAGAGATCCCAAGAGTGAACAAAACGAAAAAGAAGGTGTAGAAGAAAGATGGAGACAGTAAAAACAGAGAGAGCAAAGAAACCTAGAAGGAAAAGGAAAATATCTAAAAGAATGGTAAAAGGAAAAGATCAAAAAGCCATGATTTGTCTATAACATCAAACACGAGTTATAAATGAGAACAATATAAAAGTTTGTAACTATTATTCGTTTATTTTTCAAAAGTAACCCCCGATTTGAGACAAAAAAAGAAGAAGAAAGAATAACGCAAAAAAACCTCATACTTTCATCAATACTTAATCTCTTATTAGTATATCGCTTTATCTATTTTTTGGAATTTTAAAATTAATTTATACAAAGCCGAAAAATATATATAAAATATGAATAACATTATATCTCTCGGGCTAGTTTAAGCCCTTATATTTATGGTCCAAGCACCTAGTAGAAAAAGTGGAATCAGGCCGATCTTCTACCCACCTCTTGGGCCTATTGTATTTCTCAAGGTTAATTCTGGACTCGGACTGAGCGTTTCAGAGAAAATTTTCTGATCAGCACGATCAAGCGGTTTGTGTGAGAGTTCGCTAACTATACGCTAGGGTCCAAAATTCTCACTCTGTCGCCCATTAATATTGGAGACAAGTAAATATTGGGTTCCTTCACAAGCAGAAATTATTTGTCTAAAATATGTTGCATAATAAATAGGCTTTGAAATTAAAAAAGAAAGAAAGAAAAGCATCCATTAACATTAATATTATTGTGAAAATTACCCAAGAAACAACAAAGATAAAATTCAGAGAAATCAAGTAAACAAAAAAACACAAGCATTTACGTAATTCGACCTTTTACCTACGTCCACGGAGTGAAACTATTCTTATATTATTGAGAAATTAA